TATCCTCATAACATGCTCTTGGCCAGGCTGTAGGAGTCCGCTCTTTCTCTAAGTCAACGGTGGACTTCCCCCATGTGACCCCTTGGCTAGCTGATATGTTTGATGCGGGCAAAAGTTGGCTCGCAGCCAGAGTTGTTTGAACGCGGCGGCTCGACCAACCGAAAAGTGGGCCATCGTGAGAAGGTGTTGGGAGATGACAAACCAGACCACCCTGCTTTCCATCTGACTGAATCTTGGAACCGAGAATGGGGAGGTGGTTTCGTATCAAGTTGTCGAGAGAACTCCGCAAGATATTCTCTCGAATCGGATGCCGCAGGACGAAGAATACAATATTGCGGACGTAGTCGATGGGCTTCCACCGGTCCTTTGGGTCCAAATGAAGGATTTGGCCGCTTACTGTGCTATATTCATTTGTTTTCATGGCGATATGCTGCTTGCAGTGGCTGACTACTGAGACACGCGAATGAGAAAGTCTTCAGATGATGTACAAAATGAATGGCTTGCTGGGAGTGTGCGGTTCTCACTCTTTCGCGTCTATTGGAACTTGAATTAAGTGGCAAAGTATTCCGGAAATTTCCCTGGTTATCATAAACGGCAACACGATGCTTAGTAGACATTTATCAAAGTAAAAACAGAATTTTCCATGGGGTTGCGTAAACCTCAACAAATGGATTGTGACTAGGCTCAAAAGGTAACGTAGATATTGAAAGCGTTTCAAGGAATCGCAAAGTTCGCTGTCAGAGTATATGCTCATTCTCATTTTATTTCAGCGTTGCATTTGCATTATCCCATCGGCTGCAATGCCAACGCCAAGCAAATCGAAAGAAACACGTGTAAACCAATAGCGAAGGACGGAACAGCGTCCCTTGCATCTCATGTGTAACATTTGGCTGGCGCCACATTGCTACCAATTCACCAAGTCCCTTGCATTTATACGCGTTCCGGAGGGATGTTCACTGGGCTACCTCAATTGCGGAAATTGTGTTCGTAATCTTGCCAGCAGCCCGGTGGGATGGCAGGCATCTGCCAAGTATCTAGGGCGCAAAGGCCTTCTTGGCGTGAACGACTCTCAGGGACTGAGATGAAGTTCGTGGAGAAAGTCACAGTCTCGCCGAATCGGATGACGAGGGAATTCAGTTAACCCTCACCAAAGACGCTGAGCAGAATGATGTGGGATGCATGCGGGTTTGAGGGACCCGAGAAAGTGATGATTGCCAAGTCTGCAGTTGCTTTCTGGTGTCCATGCTTCTCCCTCAGTAGTACATCTGACTCTGCATTACGCTTGCCAAATAATCTGTCTGGGATAGCCGATAGTTGTCCTGCTCGAGAAACGAATTCGACGAAGGGTCGCTGTTGGCGTTGAAAACCAAGTTACTTCCGTAGCTCTCAGTTCCGTTTGCGAAATCTCCAGTCCACGTGGGCCAATTTGGCGCGCCAGAAACTTGTTTACCGTGTTAGCGACTCTTGTCTCCAAGGACACGGCAGCCCAATATGGGAAGTCCTGCCAAGTAAACGTACCTCCATGATGATTGGGGTCAAGTTCCGAGACGAATGACGCCCAACCTCCGCTCATGAGCTTGGAGGCTGTCGCGAATTGTGTTTGGTTGGACGTGGTGGCGTCCAAATTTGCGAAAATGAAGTTGACATCCATAGAATGATGCGAACCTAAACGGGCCGTGGTGCTAGGAGGTAAGAGATTGACCCTAGCTGAATATGCCTTTTGTCCAGCAGTAGCCCAGGCCTTCAAAGTCATTCGTCGTGAAGTTGTTTCGACAACATCAGTGTGGAACATGACCCCTCGCTTCCACTGAGCGCCGTACAATTGAATGTCTTCCGTCGAGGGAGTATATCCCGCGGGAAGTCCGGTGGCATTACTGGGATACAAGGCTTCGATCTTGGACACAGTGGTCTCATCCGGGCCGCCAGCCGCAACAAGTGCTTTGAAATCGTCGTCGGTGTCAATGGGTCCACCAAACATGAAGACAGTTGCCTCATCTGTTGTCGTCGAGTACATGATTGGTACACGAACGAAATGGCCCTTATCAAGAGATGCGGTCGGCCCATCCTGAAGGAAATCACCATCGACTTGCGTAAGCCATGGTCCAAGGCCGGTACCTGAGAATACAGGTGTGTTGCTGACATTCAGAGCGGCGGACAAGGACTCGACAGGTAAACTGCGGAGGCACTCGAGCGGGCTGGTCTTGTCGGCGCAGCCCGTTGTTTCCGTGATGTTTCGGTAGAGATCCTTGGTGTACGCAACGGGATCCTTGACGTTATATGGCCACTTCTCTGCCATACCGCCACTTTGCATGATTGCTCCGCGAAACAGACCGTCGTCTCTGCCACCGTACGCAATCAGATGCTTACCGACGGATAGGCCTCCCGCACTCTGACCAAAGATTGTGACCTTGCGTGGATCTCCGCCGAAAGCGGCGATATTCTCTTGGATCCAGCTCAAAGCCAACCTTTGGTCACGGAGGCCATTATTCGCAGAACCATTGACTGTCAGCTCATTTGATCCCCAGAGAAACCCAAAGGCGGAGAGTCGATAGTTGATGGAGACGGCAATCAAAGGTTTCTGAGCGGCGCTGGCTTGTCTTGCAAAGTTCGTTAAGTTAGTTTCCCTGGATGAACCGGCATAAAGTCCGCCCCTTGAGTAGATACTGTGTCAGTCTCAGTACGCAACATTGGGGCATGGAAACAAACCCATGGATCCAGACTGCGACAGGAAGAGCTTCAGTTCCGTTGTAATCGGTCGGCCGGATGACGTTCAGCGACAGGCAGTCTTCGGACATTGGATAGCTGGGAGGGGCCTGGAGTAGGGACGGTCAGCTTTCAATTTATGTTGTTCACATGGCTAGTTCTCACAGTGTATTGCATGCAGATATCAGCATACTCGACTGCTGAGCGGGGCGTCTGCCACGATGTGTTCAGACTTTCAGGTGCTTTGAAACGGCGATCTCCAACTGGAGGTTGAGCGTACGGCATTCCGAGGAAGACATCTTGTTCGTAGTTTTCCAGGTGAAGACCTTCGTAAGTCCCGTTCAGTACAGTGACAACAGGTCCTGCGTTTACCCGTTGAATCACGAGCAGCAACACACTGCTTAACAACACCGGTGAAACCATATTCAATCACGAAAACCGCCGGATGGAAATCTGACCGGAAACAAAGAGAGAGTCTCATTTTCGCGGCTACAGCAGTTCTTTTGTTTACATTCGGTTGTGATCTTCCGAATACTACATGATGTGCCAACTAGCCGATTGTTATGGCAGATAGCCGATGATAAGGCCCGGGAACGTGGCGATAAGAGGCAGATTGCCGCGATATGACAAGCTAACAGTTAATCATCGCCCGTCGTGATTTTATCCTGTGCAACAACCGTCACTAAAAAGATCGAAATTGGCATGCAATTGATAGACCTCGAGTTTGGAGGTAGGCCGTTTCAAAGCGGTCGAAAGACTACACCGTAGAATCTTTTCCATGTCGAAATCCGCATCCCCCTGCAAACCCCTTGCACACCTATCTCATTGAACATAAAACCTGTCTCAGCAGGGCCTCAATTAAGCTAGTAGGGGGAAAGTACACAGTATCAGTGCCTGTGACGAGTCAGATTCCCTACTTCAGCGGATTCCGTGTTGAAAGAGATTCTACGGATATCAATAGCTGTGGTCAACCTTGGAGAACCCCTTTGGTGCTGGTACTCACAGAGTCGTGACCAACTTCCGAGGGCCGAGTAGTACTAAGGGCTTCCGAGTGTGCTCTTCGTATCGCCTTCATATACCTTTTGCCCCTGTTGATAACGACTAGACTTTGCAGATAACATAGGGTAGACCTCGAAGATTATCGTAAGAATTTACCGCTGAGACTATGACTCTTTGAAACCGATTGCTCTAACCAGGTATATGCCATGGACAACTACAGACTTCACGGAAGCCCCTTTCCCTGCAAGTCTATCAACTCATCTATCGGATAATTCCGGTGGGCGCCGATAGTCTGAGACGTTATTACTTGATCGCAATGTGAAGTAACTTTCCATTGACTGCGTACCGTTAAACCTTATGACTCGATTGCAGGAGGTAGTTGTCGACAAGCAGAGCTGACTTGCGGACCCCCGATCACGTTCTTCGCTTTCGCGTCTCTTAGTTAGGTCGTACCTGCAACCCACCTAGGTAAGTACGTTCGTCTAATTGAAGACCTGTCCCAGAGCCATGGCCTTGAGATTTTGCCAAGGAATCGAAGATTGTCGCATATCCCACCTCAGTTGACGGACCACGTGCACCACCCACCTCCTCTCTTCGACTTCAGTGTGGCGGAAACTCGGCCGGGAACATGGCGCAAAAAGGCAAGGGAATAATTTTCCGCCAGCCATGGGCACCTTCACGCCTGTGTATCCCGTCGTCCTGGCCTTGCCCACCGGACAAAACGCAATAGACTTTGTGGCAGAAACGCAGCCGAGAACGACACAAATGGCCATCCATGTAACAATACACGACTCACGAGTCGTGGGCTACTGGTCTGCGACACTCATGACCCCCTTTTTGCATAATTTCGCCTCGTGTCATGGTAGTCCAGATTGCTGTGCAAAGTTTAAATCTTTAACAGTCGCATAATTCGTACACCAACACCGAGCTGACGCCTAGTAAGCCTCGTCCAGGGTTTAAGGGAACAGAAAGATATTAGCGTTAGACCGTCCTTTCATTGCGCGCCCTAACTCTCTTTCCCCCCGGTGCCAAGTATTCAGGTCCCATTTTTTGGAGGGGACAGTTACACCTAGAGGTTTTTGATTGATCGAAATCGGAAGTTTAGCGCCATGGATCGCGAACCAGACGCCTATTCCGTGGCTAGAACCTCAACTGTGAGAAGGCGTAGCATTGTCACCATAACCGACCGGCAGACGCTCTCCATAGACTTGAGCCTCACCTCTACAGACACGTTTCCATCCGTATTCGCGGACGAAAAGACCAGAAGTCCTAGCCTCGTTCAAGAGAAATCAATCAACATGAGCACAGAAACCATTCAGGAGAATCGAGAGAACGAGAAGAAAGATGAACCGTCGGCTCTGGTAGTACCGCCAACGCCTAAGTACCTGTCTGGATACAGATTGTTCCTGGTGATGACCTGCGTGACACTTGTCTGCTGGCTCATGTTCCTCGACAGCTCAATTATTGTCACTGTAAGCCAAAGCTGCCGGGAAACGCTGTCAGAGATCTTTGGGGCTGATACTGTCATAGGCCATTCCAGCGATTACCGACGAATTCCACTCTCTTGGCGATATTGGTTGGTATGGAAGCGCGTATCACCTCGCAAACGCAGCATTTCAGCCCCTTACAGGAAAGATCTATCGCTACTTTAGCTCTAAAGTAAGAGAAGCCAATGCATATGGCAGTCCTTTGCTGACAGTCGTAGTGGTCGTTTTTCACGTTCCTGGTGATCTTCGAACTCGGCTCGCTGATTTGCGGCGCAGCGACGTCTTCGATGATCTTGATTGTCGGTAGAGTCATTGCGGGAATGGGCAGCGCCGGTATCATGAGTGGAGGACTTACAATCATTGCTGGATCCGTACCTTTGGAAAAAAGACCAGGTCTGTTTGATGTAACCTCTTTTTTCAATTTTGTCACATGCTAACAACCAGGCAACAGCTCTTACTGGATTGCTGATCGGCCGTAGGTCTTCGCAACCATTGCCTAATGGTCTAAGCTGACAACATGTGAAGTCGCAAACAGTGGAAGTGTCTTCGGTCCAGTCCTGGGAGGCGTGATAACGCAATACAGCACGTGGAGATGGGGTGAGTAACTTTACACCTGCTGAAGGTTCCCGAAGAAGACGTCAGCTCTAACATCAGATGATGGCGTGCAGCTTTCTACATCAACCTTCCCATTGGCGGTTTAGTCTTGCCTCTCCTCGTTTGGACAGATATTCCCGATCAAGTCCCGAAACCAAGTCCGATGGCTGTGATTCCGAAGCTACATCAATACCTCGACTTTCCTGGATTTGTTCTTTGCGCTGGAGCAGCTGTCTTGCTGCTTCTGGCTTTGGAGATTGGCGGAAACGAGGAGTTCAGTAGCCCAACGGTCATTGGGATGTTCTGTGGTTCTGCAGTATCGTTCGTCGCGTTTTTGACTTGGAATTATCGAATGGGCGATGATGCACTTATCCCCAGGTCAATGGCAGGAAAGCGACCGGTCTGGTGCGCCGCTTCAACCAACTTCACGATGGTCGGTTCTGCAATGATCCAGATCTATCTCCTTCCGCTCTACTTCCAAGCAGTCCAGGGCTCAACGCCTTCCCAGAGCGGAGTCAACGTTTTACCGAGTATTCTGTCGCAACTCGTAGCTGCTTTTGGTGGAGGTATACTAGGTGAGTTGCGCTTCAAACTCAGACTTTGGCAAAAAGTTTGCTGACTTTCTTATTAGTGGGCAAGCTCGGATATTACCTTCCATGGGCTATCGGAGGCACCGCAGTAACAATCGTTGCCAGTGGGCTCTTCACAACATTGACACCAACTACACCAATTGCGCAATGGGTAGGGTTCCAGATTCTGACTGGAGCTGGTCGTGGTGTCGTGTTGCAAATTGTAGGTTGCAATGTTGCAGCTGAGCATATTAGAAAGGCAACTGACAACTGGGTTCTCTAGCCAAGCATCGCCATACAAGCCAATTTGCCTCCGGAGCAGATTGCCCAAGGAATGTCTTTCGTAACATTCTCTCAATTCATGGGTTCGGCCATCGCCTTGGCATTGGGCAACGCCATCTTCGTTGGCGCTCTGAAAGCAGACCTCCCCGTGTTCGCCCCGGACGTCGACCCTAACTTGGTAATTGGAGCCGGCGCAACTGGGTTCCGCAAAGTTGTTGCCCAAGTTGCACTGCCAGGCGTATTGATGGCCTACGTATCCAGCATCGACAAGGAGTTTTTCCTGTCGCTAGGACTCGCGATCGCGTCATTCTGTTTTGCATGGGGGATGGGATGGAAGGATCTTAGACCCAATAAGAAACCTACGAAACCTGACTCGAGCTCATCATAAAAGAAGAGCTTTAGGTTTTCGACCGATTGAGAATAATTACTGTTAGCGAGATAGCCATACCTTAGTCATACTATTACTGAACAACCTCGGTGCAAAGATTCGTCCACACATGTTACCTAAGATCCGAACAGCAATCACGATGGTTGAATGTCCAGTATTTAGAGTTGACTCCGAATCCTGGAATCCGGATTCAGCGGTTGAAAGTGGACCTTCACTGCTAAGCGAGGCATCAGGAGTGATGGTCGGATGGTAGAGGTGGGCAACCGTGCGTTGGGCAGTGTACGCGTTGCGATGTGGCTTTAGCTACAGACTCCACTCGTCCAAAGAAGGAATTGTGCACGAAGGAACTGATTCAAAGACACATGACGCGTCAACAACTCACAACTCAAGTTGTCGACAACTAGGCGAGCCACACTTCAAGAACTGCTCAACTGCGAAGACTGACTCTTTCTCGTGGCACATGAAATTCTATCATGCGCCAGAAAGTGTGCGCGGGGAGAAAAGCAGGCCGCCGGGGAGTCTCAACAGGCGATGATGGGCTCAGAATTGCCTGCCTCGCTCCAGTTAGGCATGTGCCTATGGTCACGCAACGTGGCACCCACGTAGTACACTGTACACAGAGATTGGAACGTCCCAACAGAACAGTTGACGCGTTTCAGCCCTCTGATCTGCCAAAGCTACTGTACAGCCAGCCCCTAGCTGTCGAACGGTTGCCAGCTTCTCCAACCCCTAAATCGTTCGTTCTCGGAGCGGCCGGACGCTGGGATCACCGGGGGCCATTCCTCCGAGGCGATCCACTGTTCGTCTTCGGCAATGCCTTTGATCTACGAGCGACGGCCGTTAGACTTTGAGCTCTTGCAAATCCGGAAAGCTTGACAAAGACTTTGCTTTCCTCTCGGAAAAGCGGCGAGTCGATTCTGCTGCCCATCCTCATCTCAGTCTTTTCAGATATAATGAACGGCTGCCAAGACCGAACATAAGCACTCGGCAGAGGCTGAGCACCGCCATCGCCTTGATGGAGTCATGTGGCTTTCCTGCCCGTCGTCTGTTTACCTGAATAGCGGTTCGTTCACCAAGTCAGGTCCAGCCCGACAGCCTCCCCGCGAGGCATGCTGAAACTGATCTGAGAGATAACCCGCCCGCGGGGAGCCAAGAAGGCAGTACTCATGCGCTTTGACCGTCTCGACAGGTGTTCAGGGTCTCATCGACCCGCTCTTGACTCAAGAAGGCAACAGTGCGCCCGCAAAATAAATGGAAAGCGTTGGAACGTGCGTCCCAAGAGGCGAAAACGAGTATTGTGGGATAGAGTTCGCGCGATCTACGAGTTCATCTTGTCGTCCCGCAGCTTCGGAGTTGTCTTTTGTCCAGAGATGGAATTCGCCGAAGATTGTTTGGGCCTCCCACTGGCTTGTTACCCCCTAGTTCGGCAAAGCCTGGCGCCTAGTGTACGAATAGTGAGAGGCAACACAGAGCCGACGAAGGATGGATGGATGGGCACTTTTCCGTCTGGGTGATGTTAGCCCGCGCCATGAGCAAGTCACTATCAAGGTTTTCATTTTTCCGTTGGTTCCCCCTCGTTTTTGCCAAGCGGCGCCGTCTTGGTGTTTCTTGATTCAATCTATTTACTCACTTCGCCAAGAGCTCCAGCCTTGCTCCAGACAATTGTTCTAGTGCGAGAGGCTCAGACACAGCCCCCATGAAAAGAGGATTCACGTGCCGTTGCCGCCGATCGAGACGGCGGCGGGGGAAACCCGCGGCGGCGGGTGCTAGTGCCCGTCGAGCACGTTCGGCGGCACGCCGGATGGCTCCAGCAGTCAGTGCCATCCTTGAAGAGTTGACATATATGTCACAGTTGGCCGAATAGGAACTCTAAATTTATTCGCGCAAATTGATTCAAAAGATTGTGTGGCATGACCACTATGTCGAGTCGTGGAGCTCAAACCTGCCAAGACTCTACGACTCTTTCCAGTTTACCTTTTTGGCACCCTCTGTATGACCGCATCGTTGGGCAGCCATTGAGCCCTCTTATTGTTTCTAAACTAGACAGTACCAAATGTCTTGGCCTTCGTCGTCAATTGATCCCCCCACCTGAGGCTTTGGTCTTGGCAGTCGTTGTCTTGGCATAGTAGTTGTTTTTAGAAGATTCACGAAGCTGTCACGATGCACGTCTGACTGACTGAAAACGTCTTGGGAACAGAACTGACGAACCACCGTCTTGAGTTCTTGTCCGAGGTCCGTGTGCGCCGCTCTTCACGGAACGTTGGAATCGCCTTTCTCGCAAAACGAGATAATTCGTCAGCCCCATCACGGAAGCCATGGATGGCTTCCTCACGATTGTTGCAGTGGACCCTAATTGAAAGAAGGTTTGGGGGGACATAACGATGTTGCATAGCCTAGGAGCTATTGAGAAAAGTGCACAGCGGCTAAACGGAGCGGTTCCGCCCTGCAAGAAAGCCCCGTCACCAGCCCAATGGTTGGCTTATTTCCAGAGCGGTGGTAAAGGCAATGTGTGCCAAGTCGGATCGGCATCTTGACATGCAAATGGGCGCTGAGTCGACATATCATACGTGAGTGGTTTCCTGGAAACCTTAAAATAAGAAATCGACAATGCGCATGATTGCTTGACCGAAAAGGGAAGAGCAGGTTCTACCGAGACATCTCATCTAGATCTGACAAGGCCCCCCGCCCCCGCGCAAGAACCCCGACATGAGTCGAACGCGCGGATGTCCTTGGCGTGGCTAGGGCGAATCTTGGCAAGGTTGACTATTTTTGAAGTCTATGGTCTTCGCGGCTAAGAAAGAAGTAGATATAAGCTTCATTGGTTGTCACTTGGTAGCCTTTTGACATTATTCGTCTCTTCTCATTTGTCGTGCAGGTACATGAACCTTTGCCGCCAACATGCTGTTCTCACAAAGAAGCGCCTGCGATCGTTGCCGAGCTCTTAAGAGCCGGTGCTCCAGAGAGTCTGGAGCTGCCAAGTGCGAGAGATGCCAACGCCTTCAGATTGACTGCTTCTACAGCCCGCCGAGACGGATGGGCAGACCAGCGAAGAAGAGATTGGGCCAGGAAAACAACAGCGCAGCAGTACCACCACCACAACCGCAACCTTCATCCGGTTACCGGCGCTCTTCAACAATGTCCAGCGCAACTATTCAGTCGAGCCAATCCGAACTGGTTCAAACACCAAACAACGACACAAACGAGTTTCAATATGGGTTGGGTATCATTCAGAGTCATCCTGCAGAGGATGCACCTTGGGCAGAGACTTTCGAAGACCCGTTGCTTGGACTTTTGCAAAATAACGACCCAAAGATGGTGGCAACAGAGTGGATGGATCACGATTCGTTGGGGTTCTTGGATCATCAGGACAGCACAATGATTTCCGACCACGGACTTCCACTGACTCCTCCAACCACCATCGGATCCCTCCCGAATGGCTCGGAAGACGCATGGATGCCCAGTTGCGAACAACCAAGCGATTTTGGACATCTAGAGTCATTCGCATGCGACACCCTCCCGTCATCACCGGAACATGAGCCGAAATCCACGGAGCCCGCGACTCAGCGCCTGCTGGAGCTTCAGTCTCATCTCTTCGCCCGCCACATGGCAAAGGCGCAAAATATGGACAGCCTGCCTGCTCTCATCAACACTACAGTCCACTCGACTGAGACCCTCATCGACATCGTGGAGGGCCTCCCGCAGCTCCGACCCAGTGTGGAGGGCCGGCGCTCCGCTTCGCCACTCTCATCTTGGGGTGCCGGATCTGACCCTGCCGGCTTCAACGCGCCAGCTGCCACATACGCGGCGCCGGACCCTCAGCTCCAGCAAAATCCGAGCCATGCAATTACAATTTCTCTTTTCATTACCTGCTATCTTGTTCTTTTGGACTCTTACGACGAGCTGCTTTCAGCTCTGCGAGCACGTTTGCAGTGCTCCCGGCAAAGCCAGGGCCCGAGTCCCGCCAGCGACATGGGCCTGGCACAGCCATTCTTCAACAGCACATCAGGGGGAAACCTCAACAAGTTCAACCTTGTCAGCTCTTTCGACTTGGATGTCAACTCTGTTGTTTTCCTCCTGTCACGAATGATGAAGCGGTTGCACAAGTCCACGGAGAGCCGCTTCGTGGCCGTTTCGATGGAGAACCCTGCGATCAACCACATGAAGGGACAGAATCAAGGTGGATACCCGGTTAGGCATGGGTCAATTAGCTATGATTTCCAGGATGGGGCCAGCCAGGATACAGATGCATTTTCGGAGCCGTCTCCGGGAGGTTCATTCTCCCCGATGATGATGATGGGGAACTACGCTCTGAGGGAAGTGAGCCAGAGACACCAAAGCGTGATGGAGTCGTTGCGCGTCATTAGATGGCTGGCTGATGAATTATGACATAGCGTTCACCAATAAAACCAGAATTGCTTCTGCACGAATTAAGACGCAAATGTCCTTTGAGACATCGTGAGTTCTCCGCGAGTCGTTTTGATGGGTGTGTCCAAGCTTCCGTGACTCGACCAAGAATTGAAACCAGCTCACTACATGTACTCTGTATTGTGACTGGATTGTGATCGACTGGGGAAAAGGCCAGTCGTCGTAATACCCTGCCGCAAATCATCCTATGATGAGATGAGAGATTATTTCCACTGGCCACAACAGCCTCGAATGAATCTATTAATAGCACCCACACGAGGACGAATCCAAACATTTGGAACTTCATCCCATCTTGTCGGATGGCTCCGTAACGGTTGGTATGGTCATGCCCAACAAGAACACAGGCTGTAGAGGTCTCAAATCAAGCCTAATTATACACTTTAAACACTGCTCGGAGATAATTTCGGGTCCTGTCAAATCTGGCAGTATCTGATGTGTTTTGCAAATTGAGTCAACGGCGAAGCAAACCTCCTCGGTGTCCGACTCGTTCTTGGCGGGCGCAGCTCGTCGGCGTCACAGCAATCGTGCGTCAAAGACCAGCCGCGACGGCTTGGCAGTAGCTAGTGGAAGTAGTGCGCCCAGATTCAGATCAAGATCTCCCAGGCCAACTTATGAGCTGAACTGGGACTCCAGAGTCTGGCAAAATCAAACGGTAGCGGCTAAGATCTGACCAGGGCCTCTTAGATTCACATGTACATTCCGGTGCTAGCGCGTGGGGTTCCGGTGTTTGAACTTTGAGCGGGACAATCTCCGCCTCCCTTATCTTATCTATTCCGCAGCATCGGTAGTCATCGGAACTCAATTCCACGTCTAATCGTCTTCGGAATTCAGAATACCAGACATGATGTTGATGGCTTGATCATCTGATTTACTTCAACACATACAAACTTCCAGGTAACGATGGCCGGAACCAAGGGTAAGACGTTGGCATTTGCATGTGAGCAGTGCAAGTCAGGCAAACGCAAGGTTAGTACCAGTACCCCACCTCGAAGGGTGCATGGGAGCATGCAGCAGTGGAGATCATGTTGGTTGACATATTGGACTGGATATTGGAGTGCGATGGGGTCAAACCGAAGTGCTCGCTATGTTCTAGGCTAGGCAAACCTTGCACCTACGTTGAGCAGCGTCCGAAGAAGTAAGTTGCCTGCAGCCAGACAAACCCCGGGTGGTCTCGGGCGGAGTTAAACCGGACCTATCTAGGAGAAAGTACTGGGACGAAGACTATGTGAAAGGTCTCGAGCAGCAGGTACAAGCTCTCCTCGCTGTTGTAAGACAATACGAAAGACAGTTTGGTATCTTGCCATCTTCGGAAACGGCTCCGTTGCCACTCATCAAAGGCCTCATACCGGATGAACATCAGGAATTCGAATCGAACCTTGTCAGTTATCGGCAGCATGAACACAGCGATGGCCTGGAAGGACCAATATCTCTCGCAGCAACATTGCAGAATCATCAAGAGCTGCCTCCATTTCCTACCCATGAAAGATCTCCAGTGGCCTTGGAAGAGCTAAGTGTCATGATGTGGAGGATGAACCTGGGCGACGGCGCAGTCATCACCCAGGACGGCGACTCGGCTCTTTCTTATGAGATTGCAGCAGATTGCGCTGTGGAATTCTCTCATTTCTCACCCCCTGATGAAATCCTCCGCTACAGTCGAGACTCGAACTTGCTATCGAAACTCGCGTCAGTCTTCCTCGACAACATCAACCAAGAGCATCAATTTACACCATACACATCACCTTCATTTCTGGATCAATACCCATACCAAAGTATCGATGAAACCTTCCTCCATACTGCCATACTTGCAACAGGAGCCGCCTTCCTAGCAAGCCGAGACCCGAATATGGCCAAGATCGGCGAGGACTTTGCGAAGTACGCAGAAAAGCTCGTCTTTGACTGTTGTCGCTATCGGCCCACGCTATCAGTAATTCAGGGAATGTGTATCCTATCATTCAGATCTTTGTCCATTGGGAAAGACCACTTGGGCTGGATGTTCATCTCTATGGCTGGGGGTTTGTGCGTTCACTTACGACTACATGTTCTTGCGTTGGATGAATGTGCTGGGAGAGCTTTGAAGCCTACGTCGCCAGAGATCAGGACGTTCTGGATGTTCTACTTTGTCGACGTATCTGCAATCACAATTCTGGGGAGGAATTGCGCACTTCCGTGGCGGCGCGTCAATGTGCCCGAATTCCACACAACGTTGAACGCCGAAACCGCAGGCTTGGCAGAGCTCTCATTCGCATGGCAGAGTCAGCTATGGTACACCCACGCCGAAGCCATGGACCAGATGTAAGTGACATGATCACCGCTAGCCAGTATCATTGGAACTTATTCTGACAAGTTCAACTTCAGATTCGCCCCATCCTTTGAGAAGCTTGCTATGGCACAGCAAATCAGGCTTCTCGTATCGACGCTCGAGCAGCTCAACACCTTCTTCCGCTCGAAACCACACCGACTGCACATGAACAATGACGCCCCGAAACCAATCGTTTTCTTTCACTTGCAGTATCATATGGCAATAATGATCATCATATCGTCGTTCCTGCGATCTTTCACCTCCTCGGACACCCCTGGTATCAGCGAAGCCGAAGCAAATAGTTCACTACTCGTACTACGATCTATCACGAGCGCTGCGTCAGAGACAATACGTCTATGTCGGCTGTATCGGGACAAGTACACCTTCACGATGGCACATCCTATCATAGTACACCATCTTTTGAGCGCGATTCTTGTGCATCTGATGAACGCCACCAGTAGCGATATCACTTTGAGAAGACAGAGCTCGCGTTGGTTACGAACAGGGATGGGGCTTCTGGATGAACTGCGGGAGATATGGCCCACGCGCGTTAATAAATGCATCCGTGTGGTGCGCGTGCTGGCTCAAAAATGGGGAGCAGTAGGTGCTCTTCCAATGGCATTCGCAGCTCCTGTTGAGCCGTCCGCGCAGGAAAGGGAATCACCACGACAAGATTCAAGCTTTTCCAGCCGACTCAATGACCCAGCACAGACGACTGTTGGGTTCTACGATGGCCATGATGTCACTCCCTTCAATGGGCATGCATGGCAAACCGGAGAGATGTCATCTGTATCAGAGCTGTTAGGGGCTTTTGGAAGTTTATCCAGCTTGCCAGATCTCGGATGGTTGTACGAGGGTCAAGATTTTGATACAAGCGGAAGTTAGCCTAGAGACTTTTCTACTACATGTACTCCAGCCCGTGAGACTTGCTTCGAATACTTTCCAAGATCTGTTGCCATGTCCTTTAGACTAATGTGTCCTTCACATGACTTATGCGCCTTCGGGGATGACCAATTCTCCAGTCTTGAGCCAAGCAATCGAGTTCGTCTTGTATTTCACAAATTCTCCCTCGACCTTTGGCACGTACTCCGGGAAGCTGTCGACCATCTGACTCAGCGTTCCCCACGAAGCCTGGCCATTGATGTCATACGTGGCCGAGTTGTTGAAGCTCGTGGTGTTGAAGCTGTAGTAGAGAATGGGAACCTCCTCAAAGCTTACATTGGCAGCAACATACGCCACTCGGTTCCCGAGGGGATCAGTGACAAACGAGGCGCCCACAGAGGGCGTGAGGGAGTATGCGCCGCTCAGCACGGAGTAGACTGCCACGGTTCCGGTGTTGATCCACTCGTTCTCCCACCAGAGAGAAGTCTCGTCGTCGACGCCGGCTAGGTATGGGAATGGCGCCAGGTGGACGTGCTCGCGTTGAACGTACATGTTGAAGGTCATGCTAGGGTACAGGTGTCTGCGAACCAGCATCAGCTAATCACTCGTCTCCGGTGGGTGCGTTCTCAGTTGACGAGACTTACTCTCCGCATTCCAACATTCCCCAGCGACCGTAATCAGTCTGCACCACCTTAAGACCGTCGGTGGTACCATCACTGAACATGTAGCGCTCGGCTCCAGACGGACGAAGCTTGCGACGGTGGTGCAAGACGTCGCCTTCAGGGCCAAGCAGGGATTGAGACATGTACATGAAGTCGCCATCTCTCTCGGCGAAGTTGATATTGGCGTAGATGTCGGCCTCTTGGACTGCACCGACGAGGCGGCTCCACTGAGCATCGCCGACGACGATAGCGTTGTCGATGTACGACGGCAGGTGATCTCGGGTGAAGTTGTAGTGGCTGCTTGAGGAACCCTTGGGGAATCTGTTCATTGCACCCGTCAGCCATGCGGAAGAAGCGACTGCATTTTCAGGGAGATTTTACCCAGGGAACCATAGTTCGGGGAAGACAATGAGGTCTGAGCCGGCGCTCTTAGCGTCGTTAATCAACTTGATACCTGCGTCGACAACCTCGCTAATGTTGAATGTCACGCCAGTAAAGTCGTAATTCGTGAGTGGCAACGGCCAATTGGGCGGAGGAGTGCGAACGAGAGCGACCGTCAGGTTTGCCCGGTCAACCGTGCTGTGGCTGACTGTAGGAGCGGCAGAGATGCCCTGAAAGGCTGCGAAAGCCACGAGAAGGCGCTTCGACAACATCGCGATTGCAGTGGCCCGAGTAGCTGAACTGGTGATAGACGGGGGACCTTCTTTGGCTTGGGTCTATCTTCAAACAATCATGTATAGTATGGCCATGGAAGACTTAAATACCTATCTAACGTCTGTTCACACAGAGTCAGTCTCTTCAAAGCTGGTTTTCCCTAGCCGAGTGTCGATGCCGAACATGATCTCACAGACTCGAGGGCAAGGGACTTGAATCATGGCGAATGTGATCACAATACGTAAGTGCATGCATCTCGGTGTATGGTGAGTGGGCTCATCTCACAACTGAGCCTTTTTTTCTACGATCATAGTTGTGCTATCCAATAACCTCGTGATGTTGAAGTTGAGGCAGATTGGGATTGTGCTATCTTGATAATGCGGAAGCTGAACTCCCGCACCGATCAAGCCACCGCCACGCTGTGATATGGGTCTCGGCGTTTGACCGGGGGGAGGGCCGGTGGCCGACATGGTATCGGCCCCACAGTCAGTGTAGTCGGTGATTGAAAAGACCAACCCCAAGACTTTCAATAGGCGAGGATCGGCCCGAATGAGCTTGCTCTTGACGATAGATATATCAAGAATTGCTCATGTTGTGGGTGCTCCCCAGATTCCCCTGCAAAAGATGGCGGGAGCCCGGTGGGATGGATGGTGTGATTATCTCACATCACTGTCGAACAATGCTTTCTACGTCCTTAGGTCATGTGCCGCTGAACGTCTTTGAGATAAATGCTTTTCAATCTGTCTTGGTATTCCCACTAAAAGATGATGAACCGAGCATAATAGCGTGGTAAAGACCCCTCCTAATCTTTTCCTTCAAGAACACTCAAGAGATCTCCCGCTGTCCAAAACTAGCATAGATAGAAAGATACGCCACACACACTTTAATCATGTCTGTCTCATATCGGCCGTCCACCGGCGAAAGACAAGAGATCGCTTCTTTCCCGAAGTGATACCTGGCGCCATGGACTCAATAGTTCGAGAAACACCAAGCCTTAGAACCTCCAGCTTATCCGTTTTTGACACCTCTCCTAGCAGCTTGACAAGCGCTACCAGCAACTTACATAACGGGTGATATGGACCATAATCCTCAACAACGACGATTCCTAACTCCAAGAGGAAGTCTTCAACATAAGAGTATTTGTACTGTGGCCAAGCCAGATCGTTCCTGAGAAGCCGATGACACACGCGCCAGAAATTGACGATAAAGATGCGGTGTCGGGTACGCTGAGCGTCTATCGATGGAGGGACCATGGCTTGTTTAAGTCGATGCAATGCTGATGGGTTCGTTACTTTTGCCAGGGCTCTTGAATACCCATGATGCTCTGTCTGAAACAGAAGCCGCACCTGACAATGAGCCTGGTCAAGACCCCTCGAGTTCCTCAATACCTTCAGACTGCTCTGAGAATGTTTCTTACGCCCGGCACGAAACCTGAACCTTTGATCACGAAAGTTTCTCTCGGCTATGCAGTACAAATCACCTACGCGTTCCCAGTTGAGGCCACCATTTCCTTTTGACCGCGTCAAGTCGAGAAAGGAGAAGTTCTGAGCTGCTTTCCCGAAGACTGCTTCGATGAAGTGATCAATGCAGTATTGCATGAGTTCCAGTGATCGGCAGGATGCAGGCCTAAGCATCTTGTTTGTGGTTGGATTGGGAAGAATGGTTCTCCGTGGCCGCGACTCATCCCCTCGCATCAATGGGTGGCCTTTTCGCTTCCTCGTTGGCTGTAATGGCTGCTCTGATCCTGGTGAAGCTGCTCGTCTCCTGTACGTAGTCAGACCCCCTCGTTTGAGATGAGTCGCGCAAGTTTTGGGCCTGTGTGATATAGTCAGATCGGTTTAGTTCGGCTTGAAACCAAGATCTCGTTACATACGTGGCCATGAATCCATAATCACGACGTAGTATCTCAACAAGGTTCTGGCTAGTGCACGCTTTATGCAGCCATATTTCGGTGATCTTTGGTTTCATCTCCTTCCATTGCGCACGGGAAGGCGACTTGCTGTGCGTAATAGAGCCCGGAACGAAAGACATAGGGTCGATTGTAGGTGAGATATGGAGGGCAGATTTCATGTGACAGGTTTGAGTAAGATCAAGCCGCAGAAGATTGTTTTGAATTGTCAGCGAACACCTCACGTCTTGTGCCAGGGCTTGGTCGCACACGAACGGACTACCCCGCCCGTCTCCATATCCTTGTGAGACCGATGATCATTTGGAACAGGAGCAAATCAGATGGCACTTACGATTGAGAACCTTCATTTTGTTTGGCTAGTGTTCAAGCAGTAGTGCGACTCAAACTCCCAGATGTTGGTTGGCTCCTGCTTAGGTAGGTTATGCATGAGCGGTGCATGAGCGGCATAGCTGATCCCCAGCATCGTACATAATAGGCTAGCCAGGCTTATCATCTATTGGATGTTGAAATGTCCTTGCATATTGTCACGTACTGATGGTATAGTACCACAGACATCTCGAGAGAATCACCGCGACCTTGTGCTCTGTCATTTGCATGCTACGCTTTGCATGAGCTCGCGGATGGAGTGGCCTCACACTTATAAACACTGCCCAAAGCCCCTGATGGCTGTCAAACCTCTTCCCTCTTCAGGCTGCTTTCATCCTTACCTTTTATGTTTGAAAGAATCTGTATACCTTTGACTCTCACAGGCGCTTTTTCATTGCCCAACTTCTCAATAGTTGACAGTCATCGTTATCGATCTGTCCCTCTCCGAATACCTTGCCCATAGAAGTTTCTATCAATACTTAGTTCCGACCATCGCTGTCCTCTTGCCACAATGGTGTCGAGCAGATTGTCCGATACCGCATCCTCTAGTACCCTGTCCCACAAGTCTATCAAGACAGAGGTCAGCGCTGTCGCTGGTGTCGTCGTTAAGGAAAGGACCGATGAGAGCCTAACGATCGGTGTCGTTCGAGAGCAGAGCTTGGATGAGCTGGAGAAAGTATGCGCAGAAGGTCCAAAGCTTCTTGGATTCATCCGACGAAAACGTATGTATCTTATCATCACCCTACCCTGCCGACGACTCTGCTGACCAGTCATTGAAGCTCCTCCAATGCTCTTCACAACTGCCCAAGGGCTCCAAGACACCATCGTGGCGATCAAGACCACATCTAAGCAACACATTCTCAATTTGCTGGTTAGCCCTGAGGTGGATGAGATCTGGTTCCACGTCCCATCGCACTTCAGGCAGCTCAAAGTTCTTCGTTGCGCGGCGCATGGCAGCAAGGGGAAGCTGTACATCGATGGCTCGTCTACCTACAACAGCGTCCGCCTGGATAAGTGGCAAGCACATCGACACAAACGTCATACCCTCCTGCTGGGCTACGAAAGGGGCGTCCGCATTAGGGTTGCTGAAATTGTCAACATTCCCAACTGGGCAAGATGTCGTAACCAGTTCACCGAATCGGAACAGGCCGAGCTTCGTCGGCACTTCGACGCACTATCCGGTAAAAGTAGCTGGGACGACATCAAAGGGGTCGTCGCAGCAATCGTCGGTCTTGCCGTTGGGACCGTGAAACTCAAGATCGCTGCGAATGCAGCAGTGGGCGGTGTCTATGTCAAGTACGCCTTTGGTTTCCATGCTCTGGAGCTCGGCGCGGCCGGTGCCAAAGCTGCCACTGTCGTCACCGCAGCAGGGCCGGCCGTTGTCATGGGAGTAACCGCCGCGGCGGCTGTCT